ATCCGGGACCGCATCCTGCTCCCTGCTGGCCGCCGTGTTGCCCCGAACCCCCCGGCCCCGCTCCGCAGCCCCGCACGTTCTGACCCCCCCGCCCCAGGCGGCGCTGCCCCCCAGGCTCCCGAACTTCGGTGCGTTTCTCGGCGGTTCCTTTGTCGTTTCGCTCCGAGCCCCGCGCCACGGGTGTCTGATTTAACGTCCTGCTCCCCGAGCCAGCGCCTTTCCCCTCCGATCCCCCCCTATAACCTCACTCTCGCAGCCGATGCCCGATCCGCTTTGAGCAAAACGCCTTTAATTTGTTCCCTTTTGAGGGATGTACCGACGAAACAAAGGCTCCGGTGCTCCCAATTCCTCTCCCTGCTCACTCCCCTTTAGCTTTAAGCGGAGAACCGGCTCCGTGCCCCGCCAGACCTGCGAGCGTTCCCGCTGTCATTGCTGCAGTCCCACGGCAGCGCTTACCCAAAAAGGCAATAGATGAGGATGCAGCGAGTTCTCCCATACGGAGAGGAGGCATCGCTGGTGCATTGCACACCCCCGCGCGGGGCTGCTCCTGTCAGTGTGCAGAGGGAGGGGGGCAGGGTGGGGGCACAGCTCAGCTCTGAGAGCAGCGGTGCTGCATTGGGCATTTTGCACCGCTCCGTGCTCGTGTCCGTGCTGGGAAGGTGCTGCCCCGCAGGGCACACGGGCTGCAGGTCCTGCTGCCACCCGTTGTAGTGACTGCACGTCCCCTCTGCTGGATGAGGCCGGCACAGGGTTGTGGCCTCGTGGCTCCATTCCCAACTTTCTGCACCTCCTGGGTGTCCTCCCTTTCCCACTCACCTCCCCAGAAGCCACCTGTCCTCATAGAATAGCCTGGGTTGAAAAGGACCATCATGATCATCTGATTTCAACCCCCCTGCTGTGTGAAGGTTCGCCAACCACCAGACCAGGCTGCCCAGAAGTAGCCTATGAAGCCTCCTCCGAGGTGCACTGCACGTGTCCCCAAGCAGGACAGCACATGGCTGTGCTTCACACAGCGTCCCAACACCCCCCAGCAGTGCATGGTACCATCAGCTGCAGCCATCCCTAAAGCCAGGCTCAGTTTGTTGAGCTCATTCCACTGCTCGTGTCTGGATGGAATTACTTTTGCCGAGTGCTTCTTCACTTGGACAGGTGTAGGCAGGGAGCTGATGGTGGGGAAATGCTTTTGTCCCAGGGATGTGCCCATGGTGTTGAGAGCTGTGGCTGCAGTACAGTCAGGATTTCTCCCCTAGTGGGATTTCCTTCTGTTGCATCATCTTCTGTTTGCCTGAGCTGTGCTGACCCATCTCCAGGTGCCCGTACACCAGTGCTATGGGGGGAACCAGGGAGGACTCAGCCCTCCTGGCAGCCCAAGTCCCATCCATGGGAGGAGCCAGCGTCGAATAATAATGAATAATAAATTATGTAATTCTTTGTGCTTCCACGGAGTCTTTCATCCAAAAGATCTTGAAGTGCTTCATCGTCATGGCGGTGGCTCTCAGTGCTGCACTGAGTGTCCCAGGAGGTGTTGGTGGGGCTCCAGGAGCCACTGTCCTGTCAGGAATCATAGAATCATGGAATCATAGAATGGCCTGGGTTGAAAAGAACCACAGTGATCATCTGGTTTCAAACCTACTGCTGTGTGCAGGGTCACCAACCAGCAGACCAGGCTGCCCAGAGCCACATCCAGCCTGGCCTTGAATGCCTGCAGGGATGGGGCATCCAGGGATGTGGGTGTGTGGTTGGTCTGCTCACAGCATGGGGGTTAGGAGTGGGATTTGGGAATGCAGGGAGTTGAATTTGTGTGGCTGAGCTCAAAAGGTTCTGCTGTGAAGGTCTTGGGGTGCAGGGAAAGTCATGTCCAAGTACTGAATGCAAGTGGATGAGAGATGATGGCCTTAGGTTATGGCAGTGAAGGTTCAGGCTGGGTGTTGGGAAACATTTCTCTGAAAGAGCTGCACTGGCACAGCTGCCCAGGGAGCGATGGGATCACCGTCCTGGAGGTGTTCCAGACCCATGGAGATGTGACACTGAGGGATGGTGGGATGGGTTGGGGTTGGAGGTCTTCCCCAACCTTAATGTTTCTCTGCTGCAAAGCACTTGTGTGCAATTGTGGATGCTGCCATGGGCTGCAGCACTTGTGTCCCAGGGACCCTCCGTGTCCACTCACTACTCTCTCTTTAGTGGACTTTCGACTCACTCCTGCATTGTCACTTTCTGCTCTTCTACAGCGAGCCACAAAATTGGCTCTGCTGCGTGCCAGTAATGCCTTGAATTAATGGGCATTAGATTCAGAGCAACCTACAAACAGATCGATTTGGAGTTACGGGGTGTGCAGCGGCTGGCTGAATTCTGTGGGAAAAGAGTGAAAATCCTCCAGTTTTCAGGCATAGCTCCTCACTGCCCGTGCCCTGGCTCTGCTCTGCCAAGTGTTGGGGTGTCAGCCCCACCCCCAGCCCCGTGTCCATGGGGGGACGGTGGCTGGTGGCACCTCGGGCCCCTCTGCAATGGCGTTGGGAGCATCACATTTCACATTTCACAGATCCCCCGACACGTTAATGGATTTGCTTAACCAAGGCTGTGAAACAAGAGGCTGCGACAGCATCAAAGGAAGCGGCTGCTCCGGGGAGGGATGCTTTGCGCTCCTTCTGTTCTCAGGTCGATGCTCATGGGCTCACGTTGTGCCTCCCTGCCTTCCTCAGAGCCAGGGTTACAACCTGTATCCCACACAGCCCCCCGGCAGCCCCCCATGGCTCCTCAGTGCGTGGTGCTGTGGGCTCCCTGTGCTGGGGATGGAGCTGACAGGAGCACCACTCATTCATCCCCGTACACGAGGACCATCCTCAGCCCTTCCTCTGCTGCTTTTGCCCCGAACCCAATTTCCAAAGCTTTACATCAGCCCCTTAAATATTTCATAAGGTCTAAAAAGGATTTTAACTGCGTGTTGGTTTTCCCATCCTCGCTGTGGCCCTGCTCAGCCTGCAGCCAGCAGAGCCTGATGGCAGCTGCTGTGAGCAGTGCCAGGCACACACAGTTCTCTCTGCACTTCCCACCTCGGCAGTAGCAAATGGTGCTGATGACAGCGCTGTGCCCCCAGTGTCCCCTAGGATCCCAGTGCCTGCAGAGTGCATCCAGGGGGAGAGGAGCAGCCCGGCCCCAGAGCTGCCAGGGCTTGGGATGGGGATGTCTCTGTGTGGCCTTTGGCTGTGGGATGTGGCGGTGCACCTTCTGATGTGTGTCAACCCTTTGGCTCTGGGATGCTGTGGGATGGGTGCCTGCTGGGACTGGGTGCTGCTGGGGTAGTGGGGTGGAAATAGGGGTACACAGGATTTGGATTGGCAGAAGCCCCACTTTCTGGGACAGCCACGGATGTGTCCATGGGGGTAGCTGCTCCATGGGGACCCGCAGCCGCTTTCCCTGCACCACAGTGGAGAGGGTTTCCAGAGCAGACTGATCCCTGGGCCGAGCCCAAGCCCAGGGGGCAGCAAGACAGCGAGCTCTGCAATGTGTAACCAGGCCATTGGTTACATATTTAATCCAGAATTGTAATGAAAACGAGCCATCAGGGCCAAGCAACCCACATTTCAAAGCACTGACGTGGGGCAGATGGAAGGACTGCCGTCACTCTGCGATGTCCCCAGGCACCAGCCTGCAGGCCCTGGTGGTGACCCCATAGCCCCATCTATAGGGCTGCACTTGGGCTGGGGGAGCTCTGCTGTGACCTTCCTGATTCCATGCATAGCAGGAAATGCAGATCTGGGCACGGGGAGAGATCCCTGCTGGTGCCACTGCCTGCTCCGTCACCGATGCGCACGAACGCCGCGATGATGTTGGGAGTGGAGTTCACAGCAGATTTATCCTCAGCCAATTCTTGACGGCGTGTTTCACCACGGTGAGGGGTGGAGCGTTGGGCACAAATTGCAGGGTGTGCTGCAGCTCCGGATTGCTGTGCGCATCACAGCCCGATCCGTTCATGCATGAGCACCCCGCAGAGATCCGCATCAGCACCCGATGGGCTCACGCATGAGAGCCCAATTAGCACACACGGCAGTGCGCAATTAACGCACGTCCGAGCGCCCGGTTGCGTTCTGCCCATTGGGCTCATTTGTGGTTACTGCTGCCCCTGGTTCCCATTCGTTTCCACATGAGCACCTGAGCCACTCACCTGAGCGCCCAATTGGTGTGTGCACAAGAGTGTGATCTGCTAATTACACTCATTTACTCCTCGGAGCTCAATAAGGCCATGCAGGAGAGCCCAATAAATGCACGAGAACCAATAGCATCATGCAGGAGCACCCATGGAGTCGGCGTGGCCTCACCAGCATGCTTTGTGCATGAGTGCCCCGTGCCCCACGTGCAGTCCGTCCCCCCGTTGGCTTTTGCACGAGTGCCCATCCAGCACAGTTACTGCCAGTGTGAGAGCCCCATCACGTGTGTGGAGCTGCCACTTTGCTCACACGTGCACGTGAGCTGCGTGCGTGCTCAGTGTGCAATCTGGGTGCTGTGCTGAGCATCCAGCGGAGGTGAAGGCAGCTTGTCGGTCATCTGGAAGCTGAGTGCCGCCTGTGGCTGGAAATAATTAACTCTGCTTTCCTGCTCTGGCAGCAGTGACCCCACTGGGCTCGGGGAGCAGCAGGAGAGGAGAGGAAGGGTCTGTAAGGTGTTGGGGTCTGGATCCCTGCACCTTCTCTTGCATCCCTGTAGTGCTCCATCCCCATTCCTGCCATGGTCCCACCGCGTGGGTATGGCGCGTCCTCGCTGCCCTCGCAGCCCTGCAATTAATGGCTGGAGCACTGATTAACCAGAGCTGTTCTTGCTGCAGCAGCAGCTGGGTGGTGGGAAGGGAGGGGGCACACAGAGGGTGGGTGGTGACAGCGCTGTCAGCCGCTGCCTGTGCCATGGGGAGGAGCGGGCAGAGGGGAGGGGGGTTCTGCTGGGTGGGAGTCAGGGCTGGGGGGCTGCGGTGGGTGCTGAGATGGGATGGAGCCATCAATGGGAGCTGAGATGGCACGGAGCCGTTGAGTATGGAGGTGGGGTGGGATGATGGATGTGGAGATGGGATGGTGCCATGAGCACCACGAAGGGGCAGCTGCACTGAAGCTGCCGTACAGCACTGTGCCTCCAGCAGTGCGGCTGCAGCGCTGGGGCAGTGCCTCTCCCAGCATTACGGTTCATCACAAATACCAGCAGTGAGCCTTTACTTGGTGCCTTGCATCCCACAGGATCCCGGGGCACGCCGCATCCATTAAGACTCTGCTTCATGCACTATTTTTCGGTGCTCCATGGGGAGCACCACCCCGGGGCTGTGCTCTGGGTGCTGCAGAGCGGGTTGCTGCTCCACCGGGATGCGCTGCGGGTAATCCCTCGTCCTTGAGCGCCCGGGGTCAAGCCTGCCGTGCTGGATGGCTGCAAATTGATTTGCATCAGCTCAGCATCGCGCCGAGATCGATGCCGGCGGGAGGGAATGAATGCAGCAGTCGGCATGCAGACACTGCGTGTGCTGGGCTGTGTGCAGGGAGCTGCTCAGCACCCCGACGTGCTGAGGATGGAGCGCCCAGACTGGGAGCACGGCGTGTCCCCACGTTGCACAGCCACAGATCCCACAGCAAGGATGGTGGTCGCATTCTCCATCGGTGCCATGCAGAGCATCGCACCCAGAGGGCTGCCCGGCTCTGTCGCCGCAGGTGTAAAGCTCAGAGCGAGGGGGTCCTGCCCTGCAGGGTGCAGAAGGCTCCCGGTCGGTGCCTGCAGGCAGTGCCCCGGGCTGGTGGTGCCCTGTGTGTGCCAGGGAGCCGACTCCGTGCGTGTCGTTAGCAGCGTTTCTCCTGTACTAAAAAAAGCACGGATTTAATTGTTTCCTGCTGGAGTTGAAAGGCGGCTCCCGGCACCGAAATAGCGCAGAGGGGGAAGCACAGCCCAGAGCTGCACCAGGTCCTCCTCCTCCTCCTCCCCCTGCTGCCCGCAGCAGCACCTGGCAGGCCGGTACCTGCGATCCCCTCCGTGACCCCCAAAATGCCCTCATAATCCATCTCGTGCCACAGCCCCCCATGCCCCCAGTCTGCTGCTGAGCATCCCCACGCCCTTCTCCCTGTGCTGCCCACACAGCCCCCAGCCGACCCACTGCTGTGACATTGCAGCCCCCCTGCCCCCCCCTCTCCAGACCCCCTGCAGCCCCCCAGCCGCTCTGTGCCTTTTGCCAGGCGCGCTGCAAATCCCTCTGATGGAAACCCGTTTTCTTTTATTTGCCTTCCGAGGTAATTGGCATCTCTTGGTGTGCTGGGCTCTCTATTTTTATCAGCTGTTTGCACATTGACACATCCCCGCTCCGCCTCGTTATCCCGGCGCGTTTCAGCCCTCTTGCTTTTCTATTATTACTATTTGGATGCACGAGGCGAGGGAAATGACAATCGGGGTGCTGGCAGCAGGTTCCCTGCTCACGTGCTCCCACGGGGGATATGATGGGATTCTCCATGCCCACGCTGTGCCACAGCCATGCCCACATCTCACTCCATCCCACGTGCTCTGCACGGTTTGGGCGCTGGCAGGACAACGGCCCCTTTGCCCACGGCGTCCCAGCAGGCATGGGGAGAGCCCAGGAAGGTGCTTGCAGGCCTGGAACTCACTTCTGGGGTGAGCAGAGCATCACAGCATTGCGAAAGCACTCCATTCCTATTTTTATTTATTTTGACCTCTTTTTTTTTTCTTTTTTTGTTTGTTTTTTTTCTTTTTTTCTTTTCTTGCAGTTACAGAGAAGGAGGTGCAGCAGTGGTGAGTAGCAGCGTGGCGGTGAGATGCTGGGGGTGCTGGGGGACCCCTCCTGCTTGGAGCTCAGTGCAGGGGCAGGCAGACCTTGGGGTGCATGCAGTTCGTAGGGGAGGACAGCAGCACACGGGGATTTTGGCTCCTCACATCGCATGCACACCGCTCCCTCTGTTTGTGGCTCTGTGCAGTGGTGGCTGCCTTTTCTCCTGCTTAGTCCCCGTGGGGATGCTGGGGCTCTCTGATGTGTACCCCAATGCAGCCCTGAGGGGGCACAGAGTCTCATGGGCAGGGACACCAGGGGCATGGAGGTAGGGCCGCCTCGCGGCAGCGGCTCTCACCCCATCCCCTCCAGCTGCCAAAACGTGCCACCCTAAAAAAGCCACCGTTTCCCTTTCATCTCCCCATCAATCCAGTCAAGGTTTTCTTTCTTTATCGCTTTCTCTCATCCTTCTCCCCCCTCCTGATGAGTCATAGCTGCAGCAGCACGAAGATGTCACCGGCTCTTCACTTTCCCACCTCGCCACCCCCTTCCCCTCCTCCCCCAGCCCTCGGCCCGCTGACAGATCTGGGTGAGGGGTTGTGTAATGCTGCTGCACACGGCGGGGTCCCAGCGAGGTCCGCGCGCTGTCCTCACACTCACGGAGCTGCCTGAGCCCTTCCCTGCATCCTGTCAGCGTTGGAGGCGTTGCACCTCCTTGTGGCAATGCTTTGTGGTTCTGTCTTTGGCCATGCTGTCCCAGGAGGTGTAGAAGCTTTGCTACACCCCCAGTTCCTACGAGGAGTTTGCAGATGTGCTCATGCACAAAAGCCCCTGTGCTGCCTCAGCTTATCTGGCTGCAAAGCTGACATCCCAGGGCACTGTGATTACTTTTTGCTGCGGCTTGGCTGCAGCACATGAGCATGGAGCATCAGGCTGTGCTGGCTGGGAGCTGCTGTGCTGGGCTCTCATTCCTGTCCCCATCAAAATCCTCATCCTCATCCCCATATCCGTCCTCATCTCATCCTCATCTCCATTCTCAACCTTACCCTCATCCTCAATATCATCCCCATTCCCATCCTCATCCTCACCCCCAATACCATCCCTGTCCCCTCTCCCATCCTTTTGCCCGTCTCTATCTCATCCCCATCCTCATTTACATCCCACTCCATCTCCGTCCCCATCCTCAACCTCATTGTCATCCTCATCCCCATCACCATTCCCATCCCCTTTCCCATCCTCATGCCCATCCCCGTCCCACCCCTGTCCCCATTCCCCTGCTCAGCGCTCAACATGGATGTGGCCATGGCAGGTTCCCCATTCTGGGCAGTACTGGGCTTGGCCACCGCTTGGTGTCACTGGTGCCACTTGGTGCCCACTGGGTCCTGGGTCCTAATATTGATGGAATCCTAACCATACTGCTCCCTCCCCAGGTACAAGGGCTTTATCAAGGACTGCCCCAGTGGGCAGCTCGATGCTGCCGGCTTCCAAAAGATCTACAAGCAGTTCTTCCCCTTTGGTGACCCAACCAAATTCGCCACCTTCGTGTTCAATGTCTTTGATGAGAACAAGGCAAGTCAGCACGCTGCAAGGCAGGGCGCATGGCCATGGGGCTGCGGTGGGGCACGGTGGGTGCAGTGATGCCCCTTGTGTCCCATTCACTCCCTGGCTGCTCTCACTCCTCTGTTCCCCCCCAGGACGGGAGGATTGAGTTCTCAGAGTTCATCCAGGCGCTGTCTGTCACCTCCCGAGGGACGCTGGATGAGAAGCTGAGGTGTAAGTGTTGCCCGTGGGCACCCTGCTTTGGGATGGCTGTGTGGGGTGCGTGGGGCACAGTGACCATCTGGTTGTGGCCATGGGAACAAAGCCCCAACATCTCCACGTGGCTCTTGGCAGGGGCGTTTAAGCTGTACGATTTGGACAACGACGGCTACATCACGAGGAACGAGATGCTGGACATTGTGGACGCCATCTACCAGATGGTGGTAAGCTCTGGGGGTGGGACAGAGTGCAAATCCCCACCTGGGGACACCGTCCCCATGTCCACCCGTGACTGTGTGCCATCCTGCTGCCATAGGGAAACACTGTGGAGCTTCCCGAGGAGGAAAACACACCAGAGAAGAGGGTGGATCGGATTTTTGCCATGATGGACAAGGTGAGGGCGGTGCGGTCATACGGGGGTTGTTTTCCTAGGGGTTGGGGGCAGTTCTGGGTCCTCACTGCATCTCTGCTCCTTCCCTTCCGCCACCCATCGGGGATCTCAGTTCCACACTACAGCCCCAGGGATGCACCAGGCACTCAGTGCCCTGCTGCTGTGTGCATGGGGGGCTGCGTGGGGCTGTGCAGGGCGTTGGGTCTGTGTCTCAACACCACTGCCACGTTTTGCAGAACGCAGATGGGAAGCTGACGCTGCAGGAGTTCCAGGAGGGCTCCAAGGCCGACCCCTCTATTGTGCAAGCCCTCTCCCTCTACGATGGGCTCGTATAGTCCCAGGGCCGAGCGGCGGTGAGTCCTGTGGGGGGGTCTGCTGTGCCCATCCCACTCACCCAGTGCTATACCCACTTTGGTTTTCCCTCTGTGCTGAGCATCAGAGCATGGGCAGTCCCCCAGGGGAGTGGGGAGGGGATGTTTCCCTCCATCCCCATGGGTTTCTCCTGGTGCGTCCCCATCCCGCAGCACATCCCCAGGCTCTGCAGTGCCATAAAACAATAAAAGCTGCCAGGTGGCAGCAGGGCCTGCGGCACCGTGCTGCAGGAACTGCAGAGCAGGCACAGAGTCAGCTGGCGATACGGGGCATGGGGATGCTCCAGGGTGACACGATGTTAAATGTTCCCTTTATGTTCTGGCTCATTATCACACACCCAGCAGCTGGCAGCACGGGGGGAGGGGGGGGGGGCTGTGGCCCACCCTCATGCGAGTCCTCACACGGATTCCCTTTCCTCCTTCCTCTCCCACAGCTTATGGGGAAGACGCTCTCTGTGCCATCCGACCACGCAGCGATGCTTGCCTGCCCCTCTCCGGCCCTCCTCCATGTCCCACGAGCCAAGGATGCAGCGCAGCGCCAGCTCACGCCCCGAACCAACGCCGGTGCCATTTGCCAACTTCTGCTTTTTTCCAACAAAAAACAAAAACCATCCAAAAAAGACCACGGTCTGAGCAGCAGCAAACACCCAAAACTTGGGGGCTGAGGGAACGGCACCGAAGGCAGAGCCCCCCCTGGCCCCGAGCCCCTCTGCTCCTCATTCCTACAGTCTGGGGTCGGACTGCGGATGCGCCTCTCCGGGATGCAGCTGGGGATGGAGCCCACAGGGGCTATAGGGATATATATATATATTATTAATATTATTAATATTATTAATATTATTATTATTATTTTGGTGAGACAGTATTGTGCTTTTTTTTTTTTTTTTTTTTTTGTCCATTCGGTGGAAAGAAGGGAGGCTTTTTTTTACACGTCTGCCGACGACGGATACCTTTATTTATTTGTTGTAACCATTGCTGCCGTTTTGTCTGCCATGTGTGTGTCCCACACCTCGCTGATGGCATCTGTCCCGTTTACATCCCCACACACGACTGCAGGGCACCAGGAGCCTGCAATAACCAAGCCAAAAAATCCCCTCCACCCGCTGTTTGCCGTGCACTGGAAGGGACTCTGCACTTCTTTTACTTCTTTCCCTCTCCCCGTAGCCCCATTCCTGCATTTTTCTCTCTCTCTTTCCCCTCTCCTGCCCAACCAGGGTTGCTCAGCCCCATCCCTCCTCTCTGTTTCCATTCCTTTCCCCAGCCTCTCTCCCCATCGGGCAAGACGAGGAGGCAGCCGGTGCTGGAGCATTCTCCTTTGTGGCTTTTCATTTTCTTACTGCATGAAAAGTATTAATGGAGCTGAGCGTTGGGTTTTGCTTTCAAGCCAATTCCCTTGTTGGTGTTTTTGGGAAAGGTGGGAAGGTGCATTTCCTCCATTGGCAGAGCAGGGGCAGCCATGCAGGGCAGTGGGTTGGGGGTCGCCCCATTGCTTCCTATTGAGGACGTGGGAAGTTGTGCTGGAAACCAAGAGCGGAGTCAGTGTGCACCCACACTCCTCCCTGCAGGAAGGTGAAGGGCTGGAAGAGGGCACCCACCTGCATGGGACACCTCACAGCATCAGATGCCATCCCTGCTGGTTCCACCCACTGCTGAAGAAGGAGAGATCTGGGAGCAGTGTGCAACGTGCTCCTGTCCTGCTGCATTTTGCTCCTGGCCCAGCAGTATCCCCACCCCCTTCATCCATCCCAGGCACTGCTGACGATGGCAGCAATTGGTGCTCATCACACAGCTCTCAGCCACAGAGATGTCCCCAGGAGGTGACAGCTGGACACACAGGATGTTCTGAGGGATGCTCCCACCGCTCACAAACGGCAGCAGTGTCCCTATGGGGCTGAATCTTACATTCACATGTCACGATGACCTGGAGCTGTGGGGCTGTGGATGCTTTCTCTGCCCTGCTGACATTTGGGATCCTGCACCTTTGGGAAGCCAGCACTTTGTGATGCTTTCACACGCCTTTATTGAGACACTTCTCCCCGTCCCCAAAGAGACATCATGTCTGCTGCCACCAGGAGCCCCCCAGGACGGTTCTGCCCCAGTGTCTCAGTGCTGGGTGTCCCAGAAGGCATCACTCTCTCCTTCCCCCCAAAACCTCCCTTCTCGATGCTTTGTGGCCAAAACACGTCTCTGTTGGGTAGATCTTTGCAGTGACTCAGACTCCACCACCTTCCATCTGCTGGATGGGTGCCCTCCTGGTGCCAGGCATTGCTCTGATGGCACCGCTGGAGCTGCACTGGGACGCCCCATTAGAAGTAACACCAGACAGATGCAGATGTTTGCTCTGCCACTTTGGCCTGGAAGGCTTTGGGGTTCTTTTCTCCTTGTACATTTCTTCCCATGGGGCTCCTGCCTTGGGCGCATCGAGGGGCCTCATATCCTCCATCAGCATCGCTGAGACCCACAGCTCCTGGTGCCAATGGAAGTATGGCTTGAAGCTTCTCACGCTTGGGAATGTCAGCCTTCACCTCCTCGTGCCTCAGTTTCCCCATCGGTGACCGCAGTGTTCTCCCACCATTTGTCCATCAGTGTTGCCTGGTTATAAGCAGTGTCTGTATTTCCTTTCCATTCTCTGTTCACGTGCTGTTGCTGCCCTGCAGCTGCCGTTCCCTGGGTCCCTCCGTTCCTTTTGGGGTCAGAGTTCCCCCAGGGGAGGCAGTGCTGCAGGAACCCCGGGCTGAGGAGCAGCAGAGCTGCATTCATGGAGGTGAAGCTGTCTGTGCTCCTGTGCCGGTGTCTCAGCTTGCATGCCCCGCTGCCTTGTCTTGAGATGAATCCAAGAGCAAACCAAGCAAACCGACCCGTTTAAGAACGGAACAAACAAACAAATAGAAACAAACCCAGGAACTTTGTGGCGGTGGAAATAAAAGCTTCATGATGGTACCGAAGTGGTCTGTGATGTGCCATGGGGTTTGGGGCTGTCAGCATCCAATGCTGTGTGCCCTGGGCAGGGGCTGTAAGGGACAGCAAATAGGGAATGTGGGAATACCCTGCTGCTGGCTTCTGGGGCTGGGAGCAGTGCTCAGATAATGTGAAGGTTTGTACGTATGTAAAGGATTTACAGCTGTGGCAGGAGAGGGTGAGGATGGGCAGAGGTTCCAAACGATGGGGTTGGATGTGGGCCACTCAGAGGTGCTGCTGGCTGGGAGCACCTCCAGTGAGGAAGGGGTTAAGCCCAGTTTCACACAGGTGCTGCCGGGACCAGGAACACTGGGGGGGGGATGGGGAGAAGCTGAGTGTAGAACTGGTCCCCTGGCTGTGTGCCCTGGGTCACAGCATCACCTGGAGCCCATCCCCACCTCTGGACCCTCCCCATCCTGCTCGTTCCTGCAATCCCTTCCCAGGGAGGCACTGTTTGCTTGGCCCACCTTATCCTGGCTGGGGCAGATGGTTTTTGGGTTCTGCTGTTTTTGTTTTTCAGAGGTTTCTGGGTGTTAGGGTTTGTTTTCTTTTTTTCTTCCGAAAACTGATATCCCCCATGGGAAGGAGTTACCATTTTCCAGCCAGCTGTAATTATGAGAACAGCATCCCATAATGGAAACATTTAGGTCACCTTCACAGCAAACAGTGCTACCTAATAAGGCTGTGTCTGGCCAACCTGGCTGACTGTGCCCCTACCATGCGATGCTCAGCCAGCTCTGCTCTATGCCACGTGCAGGAGTGGCTGGGAAGTCCATGCTGTTGGTTCCACATGGAGCCAGCACAGTATCTGGTGGAGCTGCAGGAGGTGTGAGCAGCAGGGAGCATCAACTGCAGAGCACAGCAAGCACTGCAGGGCAGCTGAAGCTGCATCCAAGTCTGAGCAAGCCACAGTCTCATGGACACAAGGCCCAGCTGGAGCCAGAAGTTTGCAGCCCTGGATGTTTTGGAAGGGATGCTGCCAGCTTACATCCTTCTCGTGCCCCGCTCACTGGGGTGGGATCTCCCAGCTGTAGCCCTCTGATGGCAGGCTCTGCACCTGCATTGTCTCCAGCCAGGCAGGCAGGCAGGATGTAGCTGAAATGCTATCAGGGCTTGAAGCAGTGATTGAGCCCTGGTGGGAAGCAGGGCCAACCCAGTGCAGCTCAGGTGTATGCAATGCCCTGAGTGACCATAAAGGCTGGAGCCAGGATCCACCCCTGCCCAGACCTCATTTAAGGGTTGGCAGTAGAGGTAAGGGGATCTTGTTGGAGATCCCTCCATTCCTGAGGGCTTCTGATGGTAAGCAGCTTCTTTCCTTTATTTCTGTGCCTATGGCTGTTGAATTTGAGCAAATCTTCCCTTGCTGTAGTCTGGGACCTTGCAGCTCTGCTGTCATTGCTGCACTTTCCGTCATATTACGCAGGGATGGCAGACAGCAGCTCAGTCCTGCAGATCCTGGGTGCAGAGGAGACAGAGATCTGGGGGGAGAACAGTACAGGTTACACACTCACTAATCTTCCTGGAGTGTGTTGTGTTTTTCATCCTTATTTCCAACCTGAGCAGGAACTACTTAGGCACCAGTTTTGCTTGCACCTGTTACACTCTGCACTTCCAAGCTGAGTTGGCCCTTGGGTGGGTGAGGTAATGACAGAGCAAGGAGGGACCATTCCAAAACCATTCCCAGAGCTGTGCAGAGACCTGCAGGAGGCTGAGCTCTTCTGGGTGCTGCTTGCAGTGTTTCCCTGCTGATGTGTAGCCACTGCCTGCCGTGGTGGTGGTGATGGTCAGCTGCAGTGCAGTGCTGTCCTGTGGGGCTGTTGGGTGCCTCCACCAGTGGTCACCTGGCAGAAGGACAACGTGGGCATCAGAAGAGGAGAGCAGGAGCCTGAGGTCTGTGGGTGGGCTGGGTGGCTGAGCAGCCTGGCATCACACTGTGAGTGGCTGCACCAAAGCACCTGCAGGAGTGGAGGTGCTCCAGGCTCTGTGCTGTGTGCAATGGCCCCTGCAGCTGTGCCATGAGATTCTCTAGGAAGGTACAACTGTGCAGGCAGAGCAGTTCCTGTATCCCAGCGCAGCTGCTCTGTTCTCTGTTTTGTTTCTGCTCGTCCTCATAGGGCCTGGGCTCAGTGTGCTCCCCAGTGGGTAGCTGCACCTCCTCTGGGTCTCCACAGAGGATGCTGGCTGTGCATGGTCCTTGCTGCCACAGGGAGGACCAGGCTGATCATCCAAGGTGAGGCTGCAGTTCTTGCTCCCTGTGCACACCTCCTATCTCAGCCTGCTCCCTCCTGACAAGGAGCAGCAATGTGGTTGCCAGGGTTCCACACAGGCACTCAGTTCTCTCCTGACTGCCACTGAGAGCAGCCACTGAGCTGTATGTTCTGGGAGCACTCATGGTCAAGCCAAGCATCCCCAAGGTGCCTTTGCCATCATACGGTGGTTTTGTGATAATGGTGTTTTGACATCACTGCTGATGTGGGGCTTTACTGCTGTGTGGCAGAGAACGAGGTGGGCACAGTAGTGAAGGTGGTCATCTTAGTCCTGCAGAGTGAGACTCTTGCATGCTCCTTTTTGGGGAAAAATAGGATTTGGGGCCTCTGCCTGCTCTTTCCCATTTGGCTGAAGGACTCCTAACAGCTGCCCTGTAGATGGTGCCCAGGGACAGGTGGCACTGCCTGGATCCCTGGGATGTTGGCACCTACACCTGTGCCATGTGCAGGGCTCTGCTGTTGCCCATGCAGTGCTCATAGTGTGAGGTGGGTGCCTGCTAGGAAGGATGTTGCCTTTCCTCATTTGCTTTAAATCCTTCAGTTCATACCCACTTTTCCTCCCTCCCATCTCCCTTGGCTGAGCGCAGCAGAACCCTCCCAAAGCAGATGCTGCATGCAACCCCCAAAGCCCCCGCATCCCTTCATCTCTCCCAGGGCTTCCTGCATTTGCTGCCAATGATTCAATTCCTCTCTCCCAGGGGCTCTGTGAAATGCACAGGCGCTGCCTCCCTGGGAGCACTGCGCCGGGCTGAGCGGAAGCGCCGGGTGCCCTCAGCACAGTGCTGGCATTTGGCTGCTGGCACTCTGCTGCCAGGCACAGCAGGGAAACAAACAAAACCTTGGGACTGGGGCCAGGAATGCGTGTGTTGATGCAGAGCAGGGGCTTTGGGTGTTGGCGGATGCCAGTTTTGGTTTCACGCTTGCAGCATCCCCTGCTGATACACAGCACCCTGCTGTGCAGGCCCAATCCATCATCCTGCTCAAGCATTGGTGAGGCCCCATTGCAGGTGCCTGACCTGTGTGCCCTCCCTGCCAGACCATGGCTGCTGTGTTGGGAGTGTGGGGTGCCCAGAGCCTGACTCCCCCTTCCTCAGGACTTCAGACAGGAGCAGGATGGCTCACTGGGCGCTCTGTGCAGAGCTTCCTGCAGGATGAGCTCCTTGCCTGAATCCGTTGCAAACTTACCATTGAGTATGAGCCCTCTCCTGGCACACAACCACTGTGGGTGCAGTGAATCCAGGCTGGGGAGGTCTGGGCTTCCTTTGACCCAGTGTTGGAGGAGCTCTGCTTCCAGCTCGGTGCCTGGTTAAGCACGGATAATGATGGAAACAAAGGTGCTGGGATCCTGTAGTGATTCCAGGGAGCTGGGAGGGCAGAGGGTGCCCTTTTCCACAGTGCCGTGTCCCTTCTCAGCCACACCTGCTTGCTTCCAGGAGTGCAGTGGGAGCTGTGGTACAAGGGAAGGGCACTCCGGTTCTTCCTGCTTGGCTTCACTCCTCTTGCCTGCAGACTGAGATGGTGCCAGCATGACTGCATGAACAGTGTGGGCAGGTACTGCTGCAAGTGCCCTCCAGCTACCTGCCATGGTCAGTGGGTGTCTCTGTCCTTGGGGGTAGAGAGAACTCTGCATCCCCACCTCACTGCAGGCACATGGATGCCCCAATTTGCTCTGCCTGCAGATGTGGGCGAGCGTTTGCAGGGCATCATCATCACTTCCATCTCATTCTTTCCCTCCTGATGAGACTGCAGGGGGTGAAGCTGGCACCAGCTCCGTGGGATTGCGCCACCTCCCATCTCTTCTCTTGTTGCAGTGGGGATGTGGTGTTTGGGGAGAGCTGTGCTTGCACCACCCTATTCCCAGCTGGGAATCCATCCCCCTCAGTGTGTGTAACTCGCTGCCCCTATCCCCGTGCCTTCACCTGGGGTCAGTTCCTGACTCAGCAGGGCCGAGGGTGACAAATCCTGCTGGGGTACACAGTGTCCCACCAGCCTCTTGCAAACCCTGGGTTTGTTGCAACACTCCAAGCAGTTCAGGGCAGCCTTGGCTGTGATCAGCCCACAGATAGTGGGTCTGGGGGGTGGGGGAGCAGGAGCCTACTGGGCTGGGGAGCAAGTAGAGAAGGCAAAGTGTGTCTCAAAATCCATTATGTTCCTGTGCAGTTGTTTATGGTTTGGTTCTGACTAAAGGTTTCCCTGTGAAGAAAGCAGCTCCTCCAGCCATCCTTCCTCCCTGGCCTTGGGCTGCCCAAGTGGCAGTGTCTGCACGTGGCAGTGGTGCAGGGCAATGTCCAGCCCTGGCCCTGTGCTGGGTCCCTCAGTCGGTGGAGCTGAGATCAGATCTTTGCACACGTGCTGCAGGCAGAGGCTGTTGCCCAAAAGTCATTTCTGTCCCACCCCACTGCACTGGCTGGAGTGACCCCAACCCATTTGTTCCCACGTTTGGTGATGGCACAGCGCTGGGGTGAGGTTGCAGCTGCCAAAGCCCATTGCTTGTGCTGTGCTCTCAATGAGGTGCCCCTAAAGGAGAACTCCCTGTGGATGATTGGTTTCCCATGCTGGAAGGCCTGCTGCTGATCTGAGTGAATGCACAGGGGGAGCATGGTGTTACCCCATGCACAGCTCTGCCCCCCCTCCCTTTGCACCAACCTCCCCCAGAGCTGCAGTTCTCCATTTCCAGGGCTTTCAAAGAAATTCTTGCTTCCCCTGCAGAGCTGG